CATGAATATAAATCCAGATGTCATCAGGGTAGGCCAGGTACTGCTGTAACTTCCCTCTGACTGGCCTCAATGCTGGGAGTCGTGGGGATGACGAACAGGAGTATTACATTTCAGACGCCCTGCACAAGATCCAGCCCAGTATCCAGAGAGGGAGCCTCCTGCACATCCTGAGAGCAGCACCCACTTATCCCTTAAGGGGAGCTCTGGCTGATTTTGGATCAATATTTAAAGCCCCAGGATCCAGTTGATGTACCATTCCACCCTTCAGAGGGAAGTTACCCCAGTACCTGGCCTACCCTGATGACATCTGGATTTATATTTATGGGCGCATTTTCATTGCGCGTCTGGCGAGTGCGCAATTCTTCCACAATTATTGCACAAGCACCGACTCACCAGCAAAACAGGCACTTTAGGAGCACTGAAAGTCACCTTTGAACTTAAGATATTAAGACCATAAAATCTGATAAACCATTTTAACGCTCATTTATGAACTTTTATTACCTGTTTAAGTTCAAAGGTGACTTTCAGTGCTCCTAAAGTGCCCGTTTTCCTGGTGTGTCGGTGCTTGTGCAATAATTGTGGAAGAACTGCACACTCACCAGACGCGCAATGAAAATGCGCCCATAAATATAAATCCAGATGTCATCAGGGTAGGCCAGGTACTGGGGTAACTTCCCTCTGAAGGGTGGAATGGTACATCAACTGGATCCTGGGGCTTTAAATATTGATCCAAAATCAGCCAGAGCTCCCCTTAAGGGATAAGTGGGTGCTGCTCTCAGGATGTGCAGGAGGCTCCCTCTCTGGATACTGGGCTGGATCTTGTGCAGGGCGTCTGAAATGTAATACTCCTGTTAGTCATCCCCACAACTCCCAGCATTGAGGCCAGTCAGAGGGAAGTTACAGCAGTACCTGACCTACCCTGACGACATCTGGATTTATATTCATGGGCGCATTTTCATTGCACGTCTGGTGAGTGCGCAATTCTTCCACAATTATTGCACAAGCACCGACCCACCAGGAAAACGGGCACTTTAGGAGCACTGAAAGTCACCTTTTTGAGCTTTTAACCATTTTACACTCATTTATGAACTTTTATTACCGGTTTATCAGATTTTATGGTCTTAATATCTTAAGTGCTGCACCATTACTGTATTGTTTGATTGAGGTTACCTTTGTGCATAGCTGCGGTTATTTCCCCCCCATCTTAGTGCACTCACATACCTTTACCATCTCCCAGTACTCGCCCACCCATGACTAGTGACTGACCCAGTCAGTCCAGCGCGGTCTTCAGCACAAACGAGATGGCGCTCTGGGCCATCAAAATTCTAGAAAGCGCTGCAATGCAGAGGCCAGTGTCTGAAAGTCACATTCCAGGCAGGCCCTGCAATAGTCTAGTCCAGTGCAGTTTGGGTACCGCCTCCAACGCCATTGTTGGGGATGCAGTGTTCCAGATATCTGCATAAAGAGACCAGCTCAAGCAGCATGCAAGGAAGTCACAACTGAAGAGAAAAAAAAATCTTGGGAAGAGATGGCTAGAAAAAAATATAAATAAATAAAAATGTAAAAGGGCATTCTTGGAGTAGGAGGGGATAAATCGGGTTATCGTTTTTGTTTAGCAATGTCCAAATATTTCCTCCGTCAGCTGTATCACCTGATCATCTGTGCCCCTCCCCGATTTGTTGGCGGCGGTATAACCCAATCATCTGAAACCCGTACCCCTCCATGATTTGTCGGCGGCGGTATAACCCAAACAACTGCCTCCCATGCCCCTCCATGATTTGTCGGCGGCAGTATAACCCAATCATCTGAACCCTGTACCCCTCCATGATTTGTCGGCGGCAGTATAACCCAATCATCTGAAACCTGTACCCCTCCATGATTTGTTGGTGGCGGTATAACCCAAACCTCCCATGCCCCTCCATGATTTAGGTCAGCGGCGGTATAACCCAATCATCTGCCTCCCGTGTCCCTCCACGATTTGTGTCAAATACGGTAAAACCCAATCATCTACCTCCCGTGCCCCTCCATGATTTGTGTCGGCGGCGGTATGACCCAATCAGCTGGCTCCCGTGCCCCTCCCTGAGTTCTGGTGGCGGCATGACCCAATCATCTGACTCCCGTGCCCCTCCATGATTTCTGTCATCGACGGCAATATTACCCAATCATCTGCCTCCCGTGCCCCTCCATGATTTCTATCGGCGGCAGTATAACCCAATCATCTGAAACCCCTGCCCCTCCATGATTTCCAGCGGCGGCAGTATGACCCAGTCATCTGCCTCCCGTGCCCCTCCATGATTTCCAGTGGCGGTGGTATAACCCAATCAGCTGACTCCCGTGCCCCTCCATGATTTCTGTCGGCGGTGGTATAACCCAATCATCTGAAACCCATGCCCCTCCATGATTTCCGGCGGCGGCAGTAGTATGACCCAATCAGCTGACTCCCATGCCCCTCCATGATTTCCGGCGTCGGCAGTAGTATGACCCAATCAGCTGACTCCCATGCCCCTCCATGATTTCCGGCGGCGGCAGTAGTATGACCCAATCAGCTGACTCCCATGCCCCTCCATGATTTCTGTCGGAAGCGGTATGAACCCAGTCAGCTGACTCCCGTTGCACTCCATGATTTCTGTTGGCGGTGGTATAACCCAATCATCTGCATCCTGTGCCCCTCCATGATTTGTTTCGTCGACGGTATGACCCAATAATAGTAAAATTTATAAGTGAGCGCTATCCAGTCAGCAGCTAAGCACTCAAGATAACCAAATAAAACCTTACAAATGGAGTATATAAAACAGTGCAGCACTAAATGGTAACAAGTAACCGTAAAACTGCTAATAAAGTTCAGTAGAGAACAGTCCGTGATACTATAAAGTGCCAGGTGACTGGTAAAAACTCAATGGTGGCGCGCCGTAAGAAATGGCAGAAATACGCACTCACCAGATGCGTGTTATACGCATTAAGTATCACATCCAGGGGTGTCCACATCAGATATAGGTCTGGTCAGGGTTTAAGGTAATTCTCCCTCAGGGATGGTAAACAGCAGAGCTGCCCAGGTAGCAAATTAATCAGATCCAGGTAACCAGAGGTCCCCTCTGTAGGTGCGTTGTGCTCTGGTCACTGTAACATCTCATATCGTTACTGAGATATGTTACAGTCACCAGAGCACAACGCACCTACAGAGGGGACCTCTGGTTACCTGGATCTGATTAATTTGCTACCTGGGCAGCTGCTGTTTACCATCCCTGAGGGAGAATTACCTTAAACCCTGACCAGACCTATATCTGATGTGGACACCCCTGGATGTGATACTTAATGCGTATAACACGCATCTGGTGAGTGCGTATTTCTGCCATTTCTTACGGCGCGCCACCATTGAGTTTTTACCAGTCACCTGGCACTTTATAGTATCACGGACTGTTATCTCTACTGAACTTTATTAGCAGTTTTACGGTTACTTGTTACCATTTAGCGCTGCACGTTTTATTTATTCCATGTGTAAGGTATGACCCAATAATCTGCCTCCCGAGCCCCTCCATGATTTCTGTCGGCGGCGGTATGACCCAATCAGCTGCCTCCTGCGCTCCCCATGATTTGGGTCATAGACGGTATGACCTAATCATCTGCCTCCTGTGCCCTTCCATGATTTAGGTCAGTGGCGGTATAAACCCAATCATCTGACTCCCGTGCCCCTCCATGGCTTCTCTCGGCGGCGGTATGACTCAATCATCTGCATCCTCTACCCCTCCATGATTTCTGTCAGCGACAGTATAACCCAATCAGTTGGCTCCCGTGCCCCTCCATTGTTTCTGAAGGCGGTGGTATAATTCCATCATCTGAATTCTGTGCCCCTCCATCATTGCTGTAGGCGGCGGTATAACCCAATCATCTGCATTCTGTGTCCCTCAACAAATGAGAAATATATTTGTATATATTCATAAATGGAGCCTCCACCTGGCCTACAACAAGGCCTAATGCAGGCCATAGACTGTTCGTTTATCAGCCAAATTTTTGTCAGAAAAAAAAAGAAAAAAAACCCAACGGTTCTGTTCCCACCAATGCTTACGAACGATTGGCCAATTTTCGTAAATTTTCCAGCATGACCAATAAAAGAAATGAGGAACCGCGAAAATCGGCCGACGACATTGCCCCACTAACGGTGCGAATATCAGCAGATTATTCTTTCGGACAAAAATTCGGCCGATAAACAAACAGTCTATGGTCTGCATTACTCGTTTATTCACCCCCCCCCCCCCGAGGCAGATCATAACTAACTCAACCAACGACCGTAAGGCTGGGCTCTCAGCATACACATGCAGGACCTGCCGTGGAAAGACCAGGCCCAACACTAAAATTCAGTTTATTTCCATTCTATAATTAAAGATATTTGTAATCATCATCCACACAATCACACAAAAGATGCAAGAAAAAAAAAAAAAAATTTAAAAAGAGAACAAAAATAAAAAGGGAAAAAAAAAAAACAAAAAACAAAAAGCTCCTTAGAGCACGCTCCTCTGATGAAAAAAAAAAGGACACTTCTCCAGAGCTCAGACATACATCATTAAATTGGTCCAATAAAATGCTTATCCGTTTTGCATCAGGATAAATACAATGGGATTATGGAGTCAGGAGCTTGAATCTAGAGGTGTAAAACCCGAGCCGTTCCAGAGAGGAGATTGTGCTCCATCACATCTGTCCCTTTAAAAACAAAAAAAAAAAAAAAAAAAAAAAAAAACTAGTCGAACTGCTAAAAAGGATGGAAACACCTGCAGAGGATTTAAGGATTTACTCAGTTTGTTTCCGGTTTTCATCCTGGCTTCAACTGTCAGGAATCAGGGAAAGCTGCTGTAAGAAAGGAAGAACAAAAAAAAAACAAAAAAAAAAAAAAAGTTGAAGCTAGGAGTAGCTGTGCCCCTGGATCCAAACGACCAGGTGGACTAAAAGAACGTGTCCCAGAGCTGTCCACTGAGATGGTGTCGATTGGGACACAGATAGTCTCCACTTCAGATTTTCTGGATCTTTTCTCCCACCACCACTGGGTTTTCTTTCCTGATCTTTGCGGCGGCTTCTGCTTTGTAGTCGTAGGAACAACTGTGGACGTCGGAATAGCGGTGGGTGCCACAGAATACATTGCCGCACCGGCATTCGAATCCTGGCAAAACACAAGTGCAAATCAGAAGCAGCATTTGGATTTTTGTCAGTTTACTGCATGAATTCCGTAGGGTTACGTATACACACACACACACACACACACATATAAATACATACACACACACACACACATATATATATATATAATATATACACACACACACACATATACACACACATACACACATATATATACACACACACACACACACACATATACACACACACACACATATATACATACACACACACACACACACACACACACAACATATATACATACATATATACACACACACACACATATACATACATATATACATACACAAAACAAAAACACACACATTATATACATACATATAAACATACAACACACACAAACACACACACACACACACACATACATACACATAAAAAAACACACACACACACACATATATACATACATATAACATACACACACACACACATACAGAAACACACATATATACATACATATATACATACACACAACACACACACACACACACACACACACACACATACACACATACAAAAAATACATACACACACACAAAACACACATAATACATACACACAACACATAATACATACATACACACAAACACCCCCCACACATACATATATACACAACATAAAATATACACACACACACATATATAATAAAACAACACACATAAAATACAACACATCACACACAATATATACACACCCACACACACAAATATATATACACACACACACACATATATATAGCAAAAAAACACACACACACATATATATACACACACAACACACAAAATATAAACACACACACACACAATATATATATACACACACACACACATATATATACACACACACACACATATAACACACAAAAACATAATATACCAACAAAAACACACACACACATATATACATACATAATATAACATACACACAAACAAACATATACATAACACACAACACAATATATAACATACATACACAACACACAATATATATAAAAACACAATAAACACACATAAATACACACACACACAAACAAATATATACACACACACACATATATATACACAAACACATATATATACACAACACAATATATATACAAACACACACATATATATATCACAACACACACAAATATATATACAAAACCCACACACAAACACATATAAATATATACACTCACACAACCATATATATATATAACACACACAAACATATACAAATATAAAAACACACACACCACAAAAAACACACCCACACACACACTATAACACACACACACATAAATATACACACACACACACATATAAAATACACACTCCGTCACACATAAATATACACCTCCAAACTACCCATATACCCATATATAACAACACACCCCCAATAAACAAAAACACACAAACCACAACACCACACCAATATATAATACAAAAACAAAATAATATATACCACCAACCCACAACACACCATAAATAACAAACACATCAAACCGCAAAACATCCCCCCTATAAATATAAAAACCAAAACACACAACACACACACAAAATATACCCACAACAAACCACACAACACAAACACACACAACCACACACACAAAACACACACACACACACACGAACACAATATACACAACCCACACACACAAACACACACACACACCCCACACACACAACACAACAACCACACACAACACAACACACACACACTATATTTGGGAAAGAATATTTTAAAAATATATTTCAAATACATTTTTCTTCCATATGGGGGGGAAAACAGTGCTTGGAGGTGGATGGGCGGGGGGGGGGGGGGGGGGGGGGGGGGGGGGAGACAAGAAGTGACACAAAGGGGGGGGGGGGGGGGGGGGGGGCGTTCCTGCACCTATTCTGAGAAAAAAAAAAAAAAAAGTCCTGACTAAAAGTATGCGTTTCTGGAATATTACGGACCTCCTGAATATACTACTTCCCATGCAGATCAGCAGTGACCACTCAGACGGGCTCGCTTGCTCCAGATCTGTGATCTTAACCACTTCCCTACCAGGCCAATTCTAACATCTCGCTTACATGTAAAAATCTGTATTTTTTTTTTTCTAGAAAATTATTTAACCATTTGCCACCCGCCCTATGGGCGAATGGCCAGTGGCAAAATGTCATCAGCGTTCCGGGTGGACGCCATATGGCGTACTCCCGCACATGCACAGAGCGGCAACGATCTGTCACCGGCTGTGTACCTCGGACACGGCCGATGACAGAACTGAGTACCTACCCCTGTTGCCGGTACCCACGTGACCTGCTGTGAACCAATCACAGCAGGTCACATGACAGTTGTATACAACGGATGGCTTCATTCATGCCATCCATTGTATACTAGTGTCTAGCTGTGAATGGTCACAGCCAATCACATGCACATCTCATGTGATTAGCTGTGGCCAAATCACAGCTAAGCACAAAAAAATAAATAAATAAATAAAACCCTGAATGAATCGATGTCATTCAGGTAAATGCTTGCTTATAGCAAAGTACTTCTTTGCTATAAGCAAATTGTGTAAAAAAAAAAAATAAAAAATACTGATCACTTCCCCAAAGTAGTACAATGTTACTATGGTCATAGTGAAATAATGAAAAGAAAATCTTAAAAAAAAAATAAAAAAAAATATATATATATTTTTTTCCATACTGTCACCAGTCAGTGTCCCTGATCACCGCCATGCCAGTTATATATATGATGCTGTACAGTGGGGTCTGCACTGGTGACAGTATGTAAAAAAAAAAAATAAAAAATAAAACTAATTTTTTAAAAATTTTTTCATTTTTCCCAAAAAAATTATGACAAAAATACAACTTCAAAAAACTCGCCATGGGGGATATCTGTCCCGTCCTGACACATTTGGAGGATATCTGTCCCGTCCTGACATTTGGAGGGATATCTGTCCCCGTCCTGACATTTGAGGGATATCTGTCCCGTCCTGACATTTGGAGGATATCTGTCCCGTCCTGACATTTGGAGGGATATCTGTCCCGTCCTGACATTTGGAGGGATATCTGTCCCGTCCTGAGACATTTGGAGGGATATCTGTCCCGTCCTGACATTTGGAGGATATCTGTCCCGTCCTGACATTTGGGAGGGATATCTGTCCCGTCCTGACATTTGGAGGGATATCTGTCCCGTCCTGACATTTGGAGGGATATCTGTCCCGTCCTGACATTTGGAGGGATATCTGTCCCCGTCCTGACATTGGAGGGGATATCTGTCCCCGTCCTGACATTTGGAGGGATATCTGTCCCGTCCTGACATTTTGGAGGGATATCTGTCCCGTCCTGACATTTGGGGGGATATCTGTCCCGTCCTGACATTTTGGGGGATATCTGTCCCGTCCTGACATTTGGGGGGATATCTGTCCCGTCCTGACATTTGGGGGGATATCTGTCCCGTCCTGACATTTGGGGGGGATATCTGTCCCGTCCTGACATTTGGAGGGATATCTGTCCCGTCCTGACATTTGGGGGATATCTGTCCCGTCCTGACATTTGGGGGGGGGGATATCTGTCCCGTCCTGACATTTGGGGGATATCTGTCCCGTTCCTGGACATTTGGAGGGATATCTGTCCCCCGTCCTGACATTTGGGGGGATATCTGTCCCGTCCTGACATTTGGGGGGATATCTGTCCCGTCCTGACATTTGGGGGGATATCTGTCCCGTCCTGACATTTGGGGGGATATCTGTCCCCGTCCTGACATTTGGGGGGATATCTGTCCCGTCCTGACATTCTTGGACCTCAAGAAATTAGATGGCTGTCAGTACTTCAGGATTGATCAATATTCCCATCCTCTGGAACTCCCTGCCCCAACCCTACTCACCTACTCTCCTTTAGGCGCACCCTGAAAACCCACCTCTTCAGGGAAGCCTACCCCACCCGCTGCTAACTTGCCGACCTCCTCCACTCTTCCTACCACTCCATCCCCCACAGCTATCTCCTCCTGTACCACCATCCCCTCCCTCCTAGATTGTAAGCTCCAAGGAGCAGGGCCCTCAATCCCCTCATGTATTGCATTGTATTGGTATTGTTCTGTCACATGTTCTGTCCCCCTTTGTAATGTACAGCGCTGAGCGAACTATCGGCGCTTTATAAATACTGTATAATAATAATAATAATAATAATAATAATAAATAATAATATTCAGATCTATACCATAGTTTGTGAACTCTATAACTTTCCTACAAACTAAATAATACATCCTAATTTGGGTTATTTTCACCAAAGACATGTAGCAGAATACATCTCGGCCTGAATTTATGAACAATTATTTATTTGCAAACTTTTATAACAAAGAAAAACTTTTTTTTTCTTCAAAATTTTCGGTCTTTTTTTGTTAATTTAGCAAAAAATAAAAACCCCAGCGGTGATTAAATACCACCAAAAGAAAGCTCTAGTTGTGTGAAGAAAATGATAAAATTTTAGTTTGGGTACAATGTTGTATGACCGCGCAATTGTCATTCAAAGTGTGAGAGCGATGAAACGTGAAAACTGGCCTGGGCAGGAAGGGGGGAGAGCACCCGGTATTGAAATGTTAAACCCCCAAACATACATTTTTTTTTAGCAGAGCCCTTAGAGAATAAAATGGCAGACGTTTTTTTGGGGAGGAGAGGAAAAAAAAATAAATACACTAATGAATTTTATTGCACGAACACTACACAATACCTAATTTTTTGGTACGATATAAAAGATGACGCTACGCCGAGTAGATGGATACCAAACGTGTCGCGCTTTAAAACTGGGTGCGCCTGTGGAATAGTGCCAAACTACGGTACCTAAAAATCTCCATAGGTGATGCATTAAAAGCCTTTACAGGTTACACAGAAACATTGCGCTCGCTCCGACGTTCGCGGCGATAATCGTTTAAATATGCGTGCGCCACTTGCGAGTAAACACGAGGAGAGGGGGTGCCCTTTTTTTTTTTTATTAACTTTATTGCTAGAACAAGGGATGAACGACATCCTTTGTGGAAGCATTGGCCGTGTCAGGACCTCTTTATGGAGAGATCTGTAGTCTATCATACCCCAAATCTCTCTTCCGGCCTCCATTGCAGCTGATCAGACAAGGACTGGTCTGATTGGCTGTTTTTCTGGCCGCTAATGGCCATGTAAACAAACGGAAACCGAAAGTGACAAAATCATCATTGCTTCCAGTTTTGGGGTCAAAGAAGAGGAACGTCGTCAGTTTTCTCTATGTGTAGCGCAGCCGTCGCTGCCACAATCTGATGGGACAGCCTGGCAATGGGTCGGTGGGGGGGGGGCCCTTAGTGAGACTCTGGTTTCTTGTACATTGCTGGATCGAGATCGGCTCAGGTAAGAACAAATTTTGCTCTGGGAGGGGGGATGCATGCAGAAGGGTTACTACCTTAAGGCTCGGTTCACATCTGTGCGGGTGGTGCCGCTGTGGATCCGCACAAAAATCCGTGTAGCCGCACCACCCGCGCAGAGAAATGCGGACCCGCGGACAGGTGCCATTAATTCTAATGGCACGCCGCCTGCACTGGAAAATGCAACTGTACTAGGGAACCAAGACTGCGTTTTCAGAAGTGCGGGGGACTTCTCTGCGTGTCACGGGAGTCCATTCGAATGAATGTGCTCTTATGCCCGCGCAAAACGCAGCCCGCACAGATGTGAACCCGGGGTAATGCAGAGAATGCGTTCAGGTAAAAAACCCTCTGCCTTTAGAACCGCGTTAGAAAAACCCCGAGTCCCAGTTTTGAGGACGTTAAACATGAACCTTAATGGGAATGCCGGCTCTTTAAACCAGCAGTGAACATAAAAACATAGAAAAAAAAGTGACCGCAGACCTAGAGGGCCATAGAGTCTGGACATTTTGGGGTTTTTTTTCTTTTTTAACTTGTTCATCTGAATATAGATCAGTTACCAGGCTTTCTATAAGCGCCAGCACTGCCTGGAACACGAAGCATGAGAAGCCCCCAACAGCTTGTTTAAAGGGACAGACCACAACCTCATCAATATCCATGTTTAACGTTGGGAAACTGGAGCAGAAGGTCGCTTTAAAGCAGAACGTTACCCATAATAACTGGATAAAAATAATGTTCTTTAACGAGGAATTCCACCATAATGATTATGCTACCAATTTGCCGGAGGCCAGAGCCCCTGAGCAGCAGTAAATCGTTAGGGGACACACAGACACGGACACACACCCCTACCTCTTAATATCAGGCCCCCACAGCTCTGCATTTGGGGGGGGGGGGCACTAAGCTGAGCGCAGGAGGCACAGCTCTGCACTGGATGTCCAGAAGGGGCGGGAGCTGCAAGAGTTAACTTTTCCAGATGCAGGGCGGTCCTACCCACCAATCATTTACTGGTTAATATGAAACAGCTCCCCGGCCCCCCTGCAATGCAGAGCTGTGCCTCCCGCACTCGGCTTCTTACCACCCCCCCCCAAAGCACAGCTGAACCTCCAGCACTCGGCTTATTAACCCCCCCACCCCAAAGCAGAGCTGAGCCTCCTGCACTCGGCCTATTACCTGCACCCCCCCAAAAGCACAGCTGAACTAACCCCCCACCTCCCGCACATCTGCTCATTACCCCCCCCCCCCCATCAATGCATCGCTGTGCCTCCCGCCACTCTGTTCATTACCCCCCCCCCCCATCAATGCATCGCTGTGCCTCCCGCACTCTGCTCATTACCCCCCCCCCCCCATCAATGCATCGCTGTGCCTCCCGCACTCTGTTCATTACCCCCCTCCCCCCCCCCATCAATGCATCGCTGTGCCTCCCGCACTCTGCTCATTACCCCCTCCCCCCCATCAATGCATCGCTGTGCCTCCCGCACTCGCTCATTAACCCCCTCCCCCCCATCAATGCATCGCTGTGCTTCCCTCACATGGCTTATTACCCCCCCCCCCCCCCCCCCCCCATCAATGCATCGCTGTGCCTCCCGCACTCTGCTCATTACCCCCCCTCCCCCCCATCAATGCATCGCTGTGCCTCCCGCACTCTGCTCATTACCCCCTCCCCCCCCCCATCAATGCATCGCTGTGCCTCCCGCACTCTGCTCATTACCCCCTCCCCCCCATCAATGCATCGCTGTGCCTCCCGCACTCTGCTCATTACCCCCTCCCCCCCCCATCAATGCATCGCTGTGCTTCCCTCACATGGCTTATTACCCCCCCCTCATTACCCCCCCCATCAATGCATCGCTGTGCCTCCCGCACTCTGCTCATTACCCCCTCCCCCCCCCCCATCAATGCATCGCTGTGCCTCCCGCACTCTGCTCATTACCCCCTCCCCCCCCCCCATCAATGCATCGCTGTGCCTCCCGCACTCTGCTCATTACCATCCTGTCTCCCAAACATGCAGAGAACACAGAGGATAGGGAATAAAAATCGGCTCCTAATCGCCGAGACCCCGGGTCCGGATGGGACTGTGGCTCGGTCCAGGTCGCGCTCCACCATTTAGTGATGCCTGCTATAAGATGTCTGCATAAACCCCCTAAACATTACATATCTGAAAGCAATCTTCAGGCTTAAAAATTATTTTCAAACATATTTAAAACAAAAAAAAACAAAAACACGCAAAGAAAGCAACTCTGGCAGCGAAAACAAAGCTGAGCGCAAGCGACGTACCTGTAAGTCCGACCTTCTTGCGGCACAAGTTGCAGCGGTTCTTTTTTAGCTTGGCCTTGGCAGGAGAGCTCGCTTGCTCTTCAGAAGAGTTTTGTGCGCTGTCTGATGGAGAAGCTACAAGAAAATGAATGGACATGATGTAAAATGGCGGCCTCCATGCTACGCCTTCCCTATGCTGGGATTGAACCCCCAACAGTCACTTACCGTCAGCACCGTCTATCATCCGCGCTCTCCCATTCTGCTTTCTATTGCCCCTTCTTACAACACTGCGCTGACTTCCCCCCCCCCTTTTCTACGCTTGAAATACTGAAACCTGAGAGCAGGGGCGGACTGACCATTTGGAAACTCGGGCACTGCCCGAGGGCCCGGGGTCAGTAGGGGGCCCCATGAGATGCCCCTGGTACCTTTTTCACAGGCTTTTTTGAGTTTGGGCAAGGACACAGGGGCCCCATGATCCCCTATTGCCGGGGGGCCCCATGAGTTGTCAGTCCGCCCCTGCCTGAGAGCCGGTCAGAGCAACCTGGACCATCCAACATCAACACCTTCCATGGCTATTCAGAGTAAAGCCCCATTTGCCAGCAGTCACTGCACCCCAATTACAAACCCGATGAACACCCCAATCCCGGAACTGGCTTATCAAATCGTTACCAAAGATTTCACATGCAAACATGACTGAATGGGGTTATTTACTACACTTGGAGAGTGCAAAAACTGGGGCAACTCTGCATAGTAACCAATCAGCTTCCAGGTTTTATTCCCAAAGTTTAATTGAACAAACTGACGTTAGAAGCTGATTGGCCGCCGTGCTCCAGTTTTTAGTAAATCTCCCCCAATGTGCTCCATGGGGTTCCTCAACTTGTGTCCTGGAGGACCATTACTGGGCTTCCGTCAATGCAAACCATGAACGTCTCTTATTTGCGCCCTTTGGTTTAATAAGGTGTAGCTATATCCCGAATGGTTTGAGTTTTGGATAGAACAAGGAATGGTTTAAACCTTTCAGGCTTTTTGGATGTCTGTTTACCATTACTTCTCGTCCCAAACACAACAGGAAGTTGGAGGAAATCTCCCAAAGTGAGGGAAATAGGGCTGTTAAAGGGGAACTTCACTCAAAAGCACAGTTGCCAAGTGGTTAGCACTTCTACCTAGCAGCACTAGGGTCATCGATTTGAACCTCCATTACAGCACCACCTGCCTGGAGTTTGCATATTCTCCCTGTGCAGGTTTCCTCCCACACTCTAAAGACATGCTGCTCTAAAGAGCAGAGGTTACTAAAGGGGGGAGGACAACTTCTGCTTCTGATCGCCTTGGCGATCGCAGCGTAAGTGGGAGCGAGTAACTATCAAATTCAGGTACCTGTTCCCCCCCCACAGGTGCCAATCCTTAATGGGGAGCGGGGACCAGTCATTAAAGTGGAGCTCCACCCAAAAGGGGAAGTTCTGCTTTAAACCAGCATTCACTACATCCGCTCTCCCCGGACCCCGCATTCACTACATCCCCTCTCCCCGGACCCCGCATTCACTACATCCCCTCTCCCCGGACCCCGCATTCACTACATCCCCTCTCCCCGGACCCCGCATTCACTACATCCGCTCTCCCCGGACCCCGCATTCACTACATCCCCTCTCCCCGGACCCCGCATTCACTACATCCCCTCTCCCCGGACCCCGCATTCACTACATCCCCTCTCCCCGGACCCCGCATTCACTACATCCGCTCTCCCCCCCGGACCCCGCATTCACTACATCCGCTCTCCCCGGACCCCGCATTCACTACATCCGCTCTCCCCGGACCCCGCATTCACTATATCCGCTCTCCCCGGACCCCGCATTCACCGTATCCGCTCTCCCCGGACCCCGCATTCACCGTATCTGGTCTCCCACAGTACACAGAACATGGAAATGCAAGAAAAATATATATAAAATAAGAAATAAGAATAATAATAATTACTACTACACTCCCTCGGCCTCAGAGATTCTGCTCTCTCCTGGCTCTCATCCTACCTGTCACAACGCTCTTTCAGCGTTACCTATAATGCTACCACCTCCCCCTCACTCCCCCTCTCTGTTGGGGTCCCTCAAGGCTCTGTCCTCGAGCCCCTTCTCTTCTCCATCTACACCTCCTCCCTTGGCCAACTCATACACTCTCACGGCTTCAACTACCACCTCTATGCCGACGACACACAAATCTATCTCTCAACCCCCACCTCACCCCCTCGGTCTCCGCCCCCCACCTCACCCCCTTGGTCTCAGCCCGAATCACAAACCTACTGAGCGACATATCTCAGAATGGATGTCGCTCCACTTCCTTAAACTGAATCTCTCCAAAACCGAGCTCCTTGTCTTCCCCCCAGCCCGAACCCCACCCCCCATTGACTTCTACATCACATCCAACAACGCCCAATATCAAACCCGCTCCGCAGGCCAGAGTACTTGGTGTCATTCTGGACTCCAACCTATCCTTCCAGCCCCAAGTCCAATCTTTAACAAACTCATGCAGACTCCACCCCCGCAACATGCAGACTCCACCCCCGCAACATGCAGACTCCACCCCCGCAACATGCAGACTCCACCCCCGCAACATCGCCAAAATCCGCACGTTCCTAACCCCAGAAACCACTAAACAGCTCATCCACTCCCTCATCATATCACGACTGGACTACTGCAACTCCCTCCTCACTGGCCTGCCTCGCCGCTGGCTATCCCCGCTTCAGTCCATCCTCCGAATACGGCTGCCAGACTCATTCACCTTTCCAAACGCTCCGTTTCCGCCACCCCCCTCTGCCAATCCCTCCACTGGCTTCCGATTGCGCAACGGATCAAATTCAAAATCCTAACACTGACGTACAAAGCCGTCCACCATACTGCCCCGAACTACATCACTGACCTAATATCCAAGTACCACCCAACACGCACGCTCCGCTCCTCACAAGACCTCCTCTCTAGCTCCCTGGTCTCCTCCTCCCATGCCCGCCTCCAGGACTTCTCCAGGGTGTCACCCATCCTCTGGAACTCCCTGCCCCAACCCATCAGATTATCACCTACTCTCCTCTCCTTTAGGCGCACCCTGAAAACCCACCTCTTCAGGGAAGCCTACCCACCCCCTGCTAACTTGCTGACCTCCTCCACTCTTCCTACCACTCCATCCCCCACAGCTATCTCCTCCTGTGCCACCATCCCCTCCCTCCTAGATTGTAAGCTCCAAAGAGCAGGGCCCTCGATCCCCTCATGTTTTGCATTGTATTGGTATTGTTCTGTCACATGTTCTGTCCCCCTTTGTAATGTACAGCGCTGAGTGAACTATCGGCGCTTTATAAATACTGTATAATAATAATAATAATAATAATAATAATAATAATGTTTTCTTCCCTTACAAACAAAGAAACAAAAACAAACCACCACCACCACCACCAAAAAAACAACCAAAAAAAACCCCACAAGGATGTTAATGGATACACGCTTTTTTTAAAAAATGAGTTTTCTTCCTTTCAAAAGAATGGATGTTAACAGATACAGACATTAACTGATGTAAGCCGGTGATAATACGGAACACCCGTGTGAAGGAGGCCTTCATGGTCCGGAATTTATGCGCAGCACTGGTTTTTTTGTTTTTCTTTTTTTCCCCAATTTCTAACAATGGAAATACAGAACCTCCTACTACTCTATCAAACACACAGGCAAAACAACAGGTTTTGTCTGGAGTCAGGATTTAAATACCTTCAATGGATGATCTCACGGCGACTCATTCTGAATAATCTGTAATTACATCGCATTCTTCTTATTCTACAGATGAGGAACTCGCAGAGCAAACCCAATCATTTACCTGGGGCCATCCTCAGCATACCTGGTCTATGCACTCATGTAATACCCATCAGCTGAGAACAATGGAGGATTCGATGACACGATGGAACATTATATGGGTGCAGTACATGGTTACATTTTAATAAAATCTTAAGTCCACGTGGAATTCGTTTGACCCCGGAATTAGAAGGGCCCAGTTCTCTGCATGGACACTTCCTGCTGTTCAGCAACTGAAAGCCAGAACAGAGGTATTGTTAGAGAAGTGTCTGCAGGAGCCTGACATTGCACCCGCCATCCACTGACCGCAAGTGGCACACTCTGCAGGCTCCTGTGTAAAACACACACACACACACACACACACACACACACACACACACCTCGATTTATGAATTTAATCCGTTCTCTGAGACGTTTCGTAAAGCGAAAAATTCATAAGCTAAAATGCGGTTTCCCATAAGAATGCACTGAAAATCAATAATCCAAATTGGGCGGCACAGTGGCTAAATGGTTTTAGCACTTTCGCCTGGCAGTACTCGGGTCACTGATTCAAATCCCAACCACGGTCTCTCCACCTGCCTGGAGTTTGCATGTTCTCCCCTGTGTCTGCGTGGGTTTTCCTCCAGGTACACCCCGTTTCCTCTCACACTCCAAAAGACATGCTGGGAGGTTCATTGGATCCTGCCTAAAATTGCCCCTAGTATGTGTATGTATGAATGTGAGTTAGGGACCTTAGATTGTACGCTCCTCGGGGGGTGGGGAGTGATGTGAATGTACAATATAGATGTAAAAGCGCTGCGTAAAATTGACAGCGCTATTATATAAGTACCTGAAATAATAAATAAATAATCCATTCCCAGGTCAGGAATAAAAAAAAAAAAAAAGTGTATCATTTAGCTCCATGGAAAGTGACAGCTAATTCTGTGAGCTATAGTGAAGAAAGAAAAAAAAAAAAAAAAAAATGTGTACCAACATATACACTTTGTATTGTAAAAAAAAAAAAAAATTCGTAACCCGGAGGTACGTGGAGAGATTTACAGGTGAGAACTCAAAAAATTGGAATATCATTTATTCATTTATTTCAGTGCAGCAACTTAAAAGGGTGAAACTAATATATGAGACTCATTCCATGCAAAGCAAGATAGTTCCAGCCGTGATTTGTCATCATTGTGATGATTATGGCTTACAGCTCATGAAAACCCCAAATCCACAATCTCAGAAAATGAGAATATTCCATGCAATCAATAAAACACGGATTGTACATAGAACAATATCAGACCTCTGAAAAGTAGAAGCTGCATATGTACCCAGTACTTGGTTGGGGCCCCTTTTGCAGCAAATTACTGCCTCAATGCGGCGTGGCATGGGAAGCTATCAGCCTGTGGCACTGCTGAGGGTGTTATGGAAGACCAGGATGCTTCAATAGCGGCCTTCAGCTCTGAGATGAGATGCAAAAGTTGCCCTCATCAGAAAAGAGGACTTTTTGGACCACCAAGCAGACCAGGTCCTGTTTTTCTTTAGCCCCAGGTAAGACGCTTCTGACGTTGTTTGTTGTTCAGGAGCGGCTTGACAAGAGAATACGACATTTGAAGCCCATGTCCAGATCTGTCTGTGTGTGGTGGCTCTTGATGCACTGACTCCAGCCTCAGTCCACTCCTTGTGAAAGTCCCCAACACTTTTGAATGGCCTTTTTCCTGACAATCCTCTCCAGGCTGCGGTCATCCCTGCTGCTTGTGCACCTTTTTCTTCCACACTTTTCCCTTCCACATAACTTTCTATTAATGTGCTTTGATACGGCACTTTGGGAACATCCAACTTCTTCTGCAATTCCCTTTTGAGGCTTTCCCTCCTTATGGAGGGTGTCAGTGATGGTGTCAGGTCAGCAGTCTTTCCCATGATTGTGATTCCTACTGAAACCAGACTGAGAGACCATTTAAAGGCTCAGGAACCCTTTGCGGGTGTTATGGCTGAATGAGCTGATTAGAGTTGGGACACTTTGAGCCGAGATTATTCCACCTTTCACAATATTCTCATTTTCTGAGATTGTGGATTTGGGGTTTTCATGAGCTGTAAGCCATAATCATCACAATGATGACAAATCACGGCTGGAACTATCTTGCTTTGCATGGAATGAATCTCATATATTAGTTTCACCTTTTAAGTTTTGCTGCACTGAAATAAATGAATGAGAAATGAATGAATGCACCATATTCTCATTTTTTTGAGTTTCACCTGTATACCTGACCAGATCAATCTTCAGGAGTTTCATCGAGCTGATGCTAGACTCGTATTAAAGTCTTCCTTTAATTCTTTTTGTGTGTGTATACACACACACAAAATTAAAAAAAAAAAAAAAAGTGTAAAGCAAGTAGCAGAGAGGGTTGTTCATCTCAGTTTCAGCTGCTTTGGAGTTAATGAAATTAACAAAAGGTGCACTAGATGTGGGGAACAATGAGACGACCCCCAAAACAGGAATGGTTTACAGGTAGAAGTCACTGACATTTTTTTTCCCTACTCACTCTTTTCTGACTGTCTTTCATAGTTTTTGCATTTGGCTCGGGTCAGTGTCACTACTGGTAGCATGAGGCCATACCTGGACCCTACAGAGGTTGCACAGTCAGTCCAACTCCTCCAGGATGCCCATCAATATGTACCATTGCCAGAAGGTTTGCTGTGTCTCCCAGCACAGTCTCTCAAGAGCAATGGAGGAGATTCCAGGAGACAGGGCGGTTCCTCTAGGAGAGCTGGACAGGGCCGTAGAAGGTCCTTAAAAACCCATCAGCAGGACACCCGGTATCTGCTCCTTTGTGCAAGGAGGAACAGGATGAGCCCTGCCAGACCGCACGGAGGCCCTACAAAATGACCTCCAGCAGGCCACTGGTGTGAATGTCTCTGACCAAACAATCAGAAAACAGACTTCATGAGGGTGGCCTGAGGGCCCAACATCCTTATTGGGCCCTGTGCTCACTGCCCGGCACCATAGAGCTGGATTGGCATTGGTCATTGAACACCAGAATTGTCAGGTCCACCACTGGCATCCTGGGCTTTTCACAGATGAGGGCAGGTTCCCCCTGAGCACATGTGACAGATGTGAAAGGGTCTGGAGAAGCCGTTGGAGAACGTTCTGCTGCCTGTAACATGGGTTCAGCATGACCGTTATGGTGGTGGGTCAGTGATGGTCTGGGGAGGCATATCCATGGAGGGACACACAGACCTCTACAGGCTAGACAATGGCCCCTGAACTGCCATTAAGTATTGGGATGAAATCCTTGGACCCATTGTCAGACCCTACGCTGAGTGCAGTGGGTCCTGGGTTCCTCCTGGTGCAGTGGGTCCTGGGTTCCTCCTGGTGCAGTGGGTCCTGGGTTCCTCCTGGTGCAGTGGGTCCTGGGTTCCTCCTGGTGCAGACAATGCCCGACCTCATGTGGGGAGCGTATACAGTTTTGCTAAGCGATGTGCTGGTTTTCATCTCCCTGCTTTGCGGGGAGATATTAACCGACACATTTCCATTGACAGAGATCTGTGTGGTTTATATTCACAGATCTCTCTGTCAGTTGCTCCACTGATTGCCAGGTACCGGCCATGAATCCCTGCCGGGACACGATGATTGATATGTACAGGAGCCAATGACAGTCCGGTAGGTGGCTGCGCGTGCACGCTTACTCCCTACTCGGAAATGCAGATGTATGTATACACAAGTAATTCTGCACAGATCAGCAGACCTGTAGCAGTAAAACCTCTATAGGTGGTCAGCAAGCGGTTTTTTTTTTTTTTTTTTTTTTTTAAAACCCTGTCATCTGTCATTGCCACATCGAGAAGTAAAAGGACAGCACAAGGTGCCCAAAGGGAAATGTGGACAGCCCAACGTAAGGAAGCCAATTTGTTTTATATAGCCGCCCTTCACCGTCAAATGTGAAGTTCACAAAAAATGAGGCAAGTGGCTTAGTGCAGTGTAAGCCCATTGGAGGGCCGTGTTTGCCCACACAGAAATGCTCAGGTAATCCGTGCATCTCCACTCATCCATTCATCTCCATTGAGACCCAGCGGCTGCAGGGAAACAGCGGCTACTCCCAATGTGACATGTGTGCAAGTGGCCTGCACCCAGAGTCTCTGCATCCCAACTGACATTAATGGGACAGCCTGCACCAGGATGTACAGAACACCCCCTGTGTGGGTGAACACGGCCCTCCACACGGGTGTATGATGTGGTAATGTCCATGTGAACGAGGTCTACAGCGTCCCTATTCCTCGGGGAAGCTCTACGCACACAAGGGATCATCTAGGACCAAAGCTGAAATATCCGGATGTATACGAATCACAATGCAAGGACAACGCATCTCCCGTCATACATGCAGCCACAATAGACAACATTAGACACGCTTCAAAGTGTCAGATCTCACCTGGGGCTCGTTTGTTTCAGAAGTTCTGTTCTCTCTGTGTTTTCAGCCGGTGAAGGGGACACAGATTCTGAAGTGGCAAGGAACTAACAAAACAAAAAAACAAAAACAATCACAAAACTGCAACCATTAAAAACAGATACGCAATATGATATACACACTATATGGCCCCAAGTATGGTCCCCCCGCCCCCCATATATACACTATATGGCCCCAAGTATTGTCCCCCGAACCCCCCCCCCCCATAAATACACTATATGGCCCCAAGTATGGTCCCCCGCCCCCCATATATACACTATATGGCCCCAAGTATTGTCCCCGCCCCCCCTCATATAATACACTATATGGCCCCAAGTATTGTCCCCCGCCCCCCCATATATACACTATATTGCCCCAAGTATTGTCCCCCCCCCCCCCCATATATACACTATATGCCCCAAGTATTGTCCCCGCCCCCCCATATATACACATATATGGCCCCAAAGTATTGTCCCCCCCCCCCCCCCTATATACACTATATGCCCCAAGTATTGTCCCCTGCCCCCCCATATATACACTATATGGCCCCAAGTATTGTCCCCCGCCCCCATATATACACTATATGGCCCCAAGTATTGTCCCCCGCCCCCCCCCTATATAAACACTATATGGCCCAAGTATTGTCCCCGTCCCCCCCCTATATACACTATATGGCCCCAAGTATATTGTCCCCCGCCCCCCCCTATATACACTATATGCCCCAAGTATTGTCACGCCCCCCCCCCCCCCCACCCTATATACACTATAATTGGCCCCAAGTATTGTCCCACCCCCCCCCTATATACACTATAATGGCCCCCAAGTATTGTCCCCGCCCCCCCCATATATACACTATATGGCCCCAAGTATTGTTGTCCCCGCCCCCCCCAATATACACTATATGGCCCCAAGTATTGTCCCCCCCCCCCGTATATATACACTATATGGCCCCAAGTATTGTCCCCGCCCCCCCGTATATACACACTATATATGGCCCCAAGTATTGTCCCCGCCCCCCCGTATATACACACTATATTGCCCCAAGTATTGTCCCCCCCCCCCCCGTATATATACACTATATTGCCCCAAGTATTGTCCCCCGCCCCCCCCCGTATATACACTATATGGCCCCAAGTATTGTCCCCCCCCCCCCCGTATTATACACACTATATTGTCGCCCCAAGTATTGTCCCCCCCCCCGTATATACACTATATTACCCAAGTATTTTCCCCCCCCCCCCCCTTAAATACACTATATTACCCCAAGTATTTCCCGCCCCCCCTTTAATACACTATTATTACCCCAAGTATTTCCCCCCCCTTGTATACACTATATTGCCCCTAAGTATTGTCCCCCCCCAAGTATATACACATTACCCCAAGTATTGTCCTCGCCCCCTTATATACACTATATTGCTTAAAGTATTGTCCCCCGCCCACACTATATTGCCCCAAGTATTGTCCCCGCCCCCCCCATATATACACTATATTTGCCCCCAAGTATTGTCCCCCCCGCCCCCCTTATATACACACTATGTTCCCCAAGTATTGGCCACCTGCCTTCCCACACACATGACCTTTAATGGCCCCCCAGTCTTAGTCCGTAGGGTTCAATATTGAGTTGGCCCCGCCCTTTGCAGCTATAACAGCTTCAACTCTTCTGGGAAGGCCCCCCACAAGGTTTTAGGGGGTGTCTATGGGAAGGTTGGACCATTCTTCCAGAAAGCACATTTGTCAGGTCAGGCACTGATGTCGGGGGAGGAGGCCTGGCTCGCAGTCTCCGCTCTAATTCATCCCAAAGGTGTTCTATGGGGTTGAGGTCAGGACTCTGTGCAGGACAGTCAAGTTCCTCCACCCCAAACTGGCTCCTCCATGTCTTTATGGACCTTGCTTTGTGCACTGGTGTGGCAGTCATGTTGGAGCAGGAAGGGGCCATCCCCAAACTCCTCCCACAAAGTTGGGGAGCATGAAATTGTCCAAAATGTCGCCTTAAGAGTTCCCTTCACTGGAACTAGGGGGGCCAAGCCCAGCCCCTGAAAAACAACCCCACACCATAATCCCCCCTCCACCAAACTTTACACTTGGCACAATGCAGTCAGGCAAGTACCGTTCTCCTGGCCACCGCCAAACCCAGACATGTCCATCGGATTGCCAGACAGAGAAGTGCGATTGGTCAATCCAGAGAACACGTCTCCACTGCTCTAGAGTCCAGTGGCGGCGTGCTTTACACCACAGCATCCGACACTTTGCATTGCAGTGCACTTGGTGATGGAAGGCTTGGATGCAGCTGCTCGGCCATGGAAACCCATTCCATGAAGCTCTCTACGCACTGTTGTTGGGCTCATCTGAAGGCCACACCAAGTTTGGAGGTCTTTAGCTAATTGACTCTGCAGACAGGTTGGTGACTTCTGCGCACTGTGCGCTTCAGCATGCGCTGACCCCGCCCTGTCATGTGACGTGGCCTACCACTTGGTAGCTGAGTGGCTGTTCCCAGTGGCTTCCACTTTGTTATAATCCCACTAACAGTTGAGCGTGGAATATTTAGTACCAGGAAATGTCACGGATGGACTTATTGCCCAGGTGGCCACCTATCACGGGGGACCACGCTTGGAGTCACTGAGCTCCTGAGAGCGACCCATTCTTTCACCAATAGAAGCCGTCTGCATGCCTAGGGGCTTCATTGTATACACCTGTGTCCATGGAGGGGATTGGAGCACCTGAATCACACCCGAATGATTGGGAGGGGATTGGAGCACCTGAATCACATGATTGGGAGGGGATTGGAGCACCTGAATCACATGATTGGGAGGGGATTGGAGCACCTGAATCACATGATTGGGAGGGGATTGGAGCACCCGAATCACATGATTGGGAGGGGATTGGAGCACCTGAATCACATGATTGGGAGGGGATTGGAGCACCTGAATCACATGATTGGGAGGGGATTGGAGCACCTGAATCACATGATTGGGAGGGGATTGGAGCACCTGAATCACATGATTGGGAGGGGATTGGAGCACCTGAATCACATGATTGGGAGGGGATTGGAGCACCTTAATCACATGATTGGGAGGGGATTGGAGCACCTTAATCACATGATTGGGAGGGGATTGGAGCACCTGAATCACATGATTGGGAGGGGATTGGAGCACCTGAATCACATGATTGGGAGGGGATTGGAGCACCTGAATCACATGATTTGGTGGGGGAGGGACAATACTTTTGGCAATATAGTGTATTATGGGGCTGCTTATGACCAGCAAGATGTAGACAGGACTTTTGATTCAGCAGAATGCCCGTTATCTACTATGGAGGAAGGACACTTACCTTGCTTGTGCTTGTGGCAACACGGACTCTTCTGGTTCAGATACCTGAGGTGTGACAGCCTGCTGCGATGAGGGAACCTCCACCCCACTCCCCATTGACACCACTAAAAAGCAAAAAAAAAAAAGAAAACAAAGAAGAGCAATATCATAAAATCTGGTAATCAATGCAGATACAATCTTATCCAAGTAACGTTGGCAGCTTACCTCTGAACTCTGGATTCCCAGGAGATCATAAATACTTTTACAATCCCCAACCTACTAAAAAAAAAAAAAAAAAAAAAAAAAAAAAAAAGTAGTCCTTCCCTTGACCTGTGTTACTACTTTGTAGTGGTAAAGTTTACACATTCCAGCCTGAAACATTCCTATCAGTAAATGCATCACATAGATGTGCGGCAGCAAGGTGGCTTTCCTTTGCACCTCTGGGAAGCGGGGGGGGGGGGGGCGCACGCGTCCACCGCCCCGGCTGTGCTGTAATTAGGTGATTAGACATTGCACAAGTCAATCAGCGGGTCCCAGCCAATGACTGACGGCCAGGACCTGGTGATCTGCGAAGAGGCTGGCAGGACCGAGCTCTGTGTATGTAAACAATACAGAGGCCTGCGCTGTCAGCAGAGAGGTGCTGGTTTTGGTTTCCCTGAAATACAGGGAAAAAAAAAAAAAAAAAAAAAAAAAAAAAAAAAAAAAACACCCAACGCAGAAAAGCGCCTAAACGTGAGTTTATCAGCCGCAGTGTACATGGAGCCTTATTGAGATTTTTAACCAAAAATATGTAGAATACATTTAAGCCTCAATTTATAAAGAAAATTTTATTCTATTTTTTTTTTTTTTTTTTTTTTTATTTGATAAGTTTCATAGCAGAAAGTACTTTTTTTTTTTTCTTCAAAATTGGTCGGTCTTTTTTTCATTTATCGCAAAAAACAAAAGAAAGTTTCAAAACCCCGTGGTGATCAAATACCACCAAAAGAAAGCTCCATTGGTGTGAAGAAAAAAAAAAAAATTCTATAAAAATGTAATTTGGGTACAGTGTTGCATGACCGTGCACTTCCCAGTTAAAGCAGCGCAGGGCTGAATAGCATAAAAAAAAAACAGACTGATCATTAAGGAGTTAAAATCTTCCAGAGGGCAAGTGGTACAGTGTTATATGACTGCACAATTCCCAGTTAAAGTAGCACAGTGCTGAATAGCAAAAAAAAAAAAATGGACTGATCATGAAGGGGGTAAAATCTTCCAGAGGGCAAGTGGTTAAAGTGGTTGTACACCCTTCCATATACCCAGTGAAGTGAATGGATGAAAAATCCTTCTATACGAGTTGTAACTGTTTATCTGCGGGTATTCTTTTCTCTACAGCCGTTTAAAGTGCTGAATTTATACAGGGGCAGCAGAGAGTGGAAATTACATACTGCAGAACTCCATGAGGAGAGGTCGGAGATCTGATTGGAGGGAAGAGACCCCCTCCCCCTTCACACAGCTCACAGAAACAAAACTGAGGCTGTCAATCACAGGCTGTGTGCTGGAGCTCCCTTCTATCACCTTTTTATCTCTAGGTTTCAGGAAAACTTGCCAGAAGCGACTCATACTGATAGGGGAAGGAGACAGAATAGACAGTGCTCTGGATTAAGACAAGTGCACACAAGTTCATTCTTTGGTTTCACTGTTAAAGCGCAATTCCAGACACATTCAGATAAGTAGCACAGCCCCTTCTGCAACCTCCTAGCCCTAAAGTAGAAGCTCAAGTCAAAATCTAAAGGCTAAGCCTCCATTCTAAAAGTCTATCCTATCTACCCCAAGAAAAGGAAAGTTGTCTATACTGACCTATTCTGAAGCTATGCCAGTCACATGATCAGGTCCCAGCTTCAGTGCAGAGGAGGGACAGCCGACAATGGATGCCCCATAGTAAGCCTATGAATGACGTCATCTCGCAGGCTCTGCAGCTGTTGTCAGTGATCTCTCCTCTTCAGTGAAGCCGCTCCGGTCGGGTCACATGATCAGGTCCCAGCTTCAGTGTAGAGGGACAGCCGACAATGGATGCCCCATAGTAAGCCTATGAGCGACGTCATCTCGCAGGCTCTGCAGCTGTTGTCAGTGATCTCTCCTCTTCAGTGAAGCCGCTCCGGTCGGGTCACATGATCAGGTCCCAGCTTCAGTGTAGAGGGACAGCCGACAATGGATGCCCTATGTAACTATGAGCGACGTCATCTCGCAGGCTCTGCAGCTGTTGTCAGTGATCTCTCCTCTTCACTGAAGCCACCACTGGAGAGATCATGTGACAGAGAGCAGCTTCAGAATAGGCAAGTACAGGCGTCTTTTCTTTCACAGGATAAATAACCGGCTGTACAGTCTAGAAACAACGAATCCAGAGTCGATTATGGAAACAATTGTTAACCATTTTCAGAATCATTTAGTTGCTGGTTGTGGTTGAAAATTAATGTCAATTTGATGCCACTAATGGATTAGAAAATCGAACGGTCCTAAAGCGATCGTAAACCGCAGGGAGAAAAAAAAAATACAAAAAAAGTCGTGCAAAGTAATGCCACAATGTGCTGGACACGTCACATACTAGCAGATCACGTAGGACTTCACCTACAACGAAGCCCTCCAGCGACGCGTTGTCACCGCGTGGGAGTTCCGGGCCACGGCACATCCTGGGGAACCTACTCCGTATTGCTAAAAAGAATTCATAAATGGCATTGAAAACCAATTAATCTGTTCCGGAGGCCAGAGAAAAGTAAAAAAACACGTTTTATAAAGGGCACTTCCACTTCCAGTCCGGACGCTTCCCCCCCCCCTTCCAGTCCGGACGCTTTCCTTCCCTCCCCCCCCCCCCCCCCTCCCCCCACCCCTTCCAGTCCGGACGCTTTCCTTCCCTCCCCCCCCCCCCCCCCCCCCTTCCGGTCCAGGCGCTTCCCTTCCCCCCCCCCCCCCCCCCCCCACCCCCCTTCCCCCCTTTCCTCCCTTCCCCCCCCCCTCCGGTCCGGACGCTTCCCTTCCCCCCCCCCCCCTCCCCCCCCCCCCACCCCCCCCACCCCCCCTTCCGGTCCGGACGCTTCCCTCCCCCCCCCCCCCTCCCCCCACCCCTTCCGGTCCGGACGCTTCCTTCCCTCCCCCCCCTCCCCTTCCCCTTCCCTTCCCTCCCCCCCCCCTCCCCCCACCCTTCCGGTCCGGACGCTTCCCTTCCTCCCCCCCCCCAGACCCCCCCCCCACCCCTTCCGGTCCGGACGCTTCCTTCCCCCCCCTCCCCCCCCCCCCTTCCGGTCCGGACGCTTTCCCCCCCCCCCCAACCCCCCCCAGTCCGGACACTTTCCCCCCCCCCCCCCTTCCAGTCCAGACACTTTCCCCCCCTTTCTGTCCAGGCCAAATTTCAGCTTTCAGCGCTATCACACTCTGAATGACAATTGCGCGGTCATGCAACACATGAATTTAGCTTTTTTTTGAGACAAAGCGTTATTTTGGTGGTATTTATTCACCACTGGGAATTTTTAAATTGTAAATGAAAAAATCCAAAAATTTTGAAAAAAAAAGCGATTTATAAAATTTTGCAAATATAATATTTCATCATAAATCTTGACCAAAATTTATTCTGTTATCTTTGTAGTAAAAAAAAAAAAAAAAAAAAAAAAGACAAGACAACCCAAATGAGTTTATAACCAAAAATTCTAATTTTTAAACTTTTTTTTACATTTTTATTTTTTACATACTGTCACCCTAGCAGTATAGTGTCACCGCGATCAAATACCACCGGAAAAAAAAAAGCTCCATTTGTGGGTAAAAAGGACGTAAATTTCATTTGAGTGCAGCGTTGCATGACCGCGCAACTGTCAGTTAAAGTAATGCAGTGCATTATTGCAAAAAAAAAAAAAAAAAAAAAATGGCCTGGTCAGGAAGGGGGGGGGGGGGGGGAAGAGGGGTGGGGAGAATACTCATGGAGGGGAACTGGTTAATCGAAACAATAGTCGGCCAACTAATCGATTATATAAAAAAACAAATTACTTGCAGCCGTAACCCCCCCGGTTCACATATATGCGGCCACGCAGGCCACGTTTTGCGCGGGCACGAGAGTCCCGGCACTTCTTTGGAAGACGCAGCCGAGGTTCTCAGTACGGTTGCGTTTCCCAGTGCGGGCGGCGTGGCGTTAGAACCAATGGTGCCCGCCCGCAGGTCCGCAGCGGCCCCCTGCACAGACGTGAATCGAGGGTAATACAGTCCCCTATAATCCATCGTGAAAAACACTTCGCATTAGTAAAGGATAAGTAGCAGTTTTTACAAGTTTTTTTTTTATGGTTTCTGTAAGGGGGGCAAAGTGTCCTCGATGGAAATCCCAGATTCTCAGCATACAAAGGACCTTGACCTATGCCCGAGCCGGAGCCCGAGCTAAGCCCCATCATGTCGGAGGGATCCGTCAGATACATGGGTGATGAATGGTGTATCTAACGTTCACATGTAACCTTCCCCTATTGAAGCTGTAATAGTTCATTTTAGGACGTGACAGGTGACTGTAAGGCTCCATTCACACCTCTGCGACCAATGAGAATGGTCTGTGCCAGGGGCAAACTGACCATTTGAGCACTCAGGCAATGCCCGAGGGCCCAGGGTCAGTAGGGGGCACCATGAAATACCCCTGGTGCCCTTTTATAGGTTTTCTTTGGGTGTGCTTTGAGTTTGGGCAAGGACACAGGGGGGATCCCCTATTGCCCGGGGGCCCCATGATCCCCTATTGCCCGGGGGCCCCATGATCCCCTATTGCCCGGGGGCCCCATGATCCCCTATTGCCCGGGGGCCCCATGAGTTGTCAGTCCACCCCTGGTTTGTGCTCTACAAAGTCGCGACTCTGGAGGGTTTACATTGAAGTAAAATGAAAGTCGGACCAAAAAGTAGTGCAGGAACTACTTTCAAGATGCTGTGACCTGAAGTCGCACAGACGCGAGTTGTACTCATGGGAAACATGGGGTGCGACTTTCATGCGGCTCTGGAGGGTTTACATTGAAGTCTATGGCCCTCAATTCGGACCAAAAGCAGGTCACAGCAACTTGAAAGTTCCTGCACTAAAGTCGCACAGACGTGAAAAGTTACTCATGGGAAACATGGGGTGCAACTTTCATGCGACTCTGGACCCCAATGTGTGAATGGGCTCTAATGCCGGCCACAGACGGGATGAAAATCGACTGATTTTTCAGCCGAAAAAAAAAAAAAAAAAAAGTCAGATTTTCGCACCGTTAGTGGGTTAATTGGTTGGCCGTTTTTCAGGGTTTTTGCACATTTTCTTTTTGTTTTTTGTTTTTTTAAATCAGGCATGTTGGAAAATTCGCAACCGATTTTGACGATCGGCTGACTTTCCCGGCAATGATGGGCAAATCAGCCGATTGTTTTTACCAAAAAAAAAAAAAAAAAAAAAAATGCGCATCAGCCGTGACCTGCAAGAAGAAAAAGAAAAAGCAGAAGAATAAGAATTCCAGTCCACTATTATATTTTACATGAAAGTCTTGCGGTTGCAACAATGTATCCATTTGTATCCGAAAAAACCATCTGTATCCGAAATGGATACAAACGGATACATTGTTGCAACCGCAAGACTTTTCATATAAAATATAATAGTGGACTGGAATTCTTAGGGACAGAAGTGATTATGGGGTTAAATGCCGGCTGTAGACGGGACAAAAATTGTCCGATCTTTTTACCATTGGTGGTAACGTCGGGCGATCAAACGACCGATTTTTAGTTTTGTTTTTTTTTTAAAAAACACCCGGTTTAATAAGGTAATGCAAAAAAATAAAAAAGCAAATGCGGCAAACCATGCCATACACATGTATCTGAAAGGTGCATCACTGGGGCTCTAAGGCAGGTAGCCAGTTGCTCGGGTTTATGGATGTGAAAAGAACGTGGATCTACCTGGTGGACTGCTCCTGCCGCCGCCCGCTGCTGCTGTTCTGCCTCTGTAGGTGTTCTTTGTAGCACACAGAACAGAGTCCATTGGTGCGAGGGTTACCATAAAATCCGCAGCCGTTGGAACAAAGTAGCGGTGCCTGGTTGTGGTTCGTTTCCTGCGCCATTTTCATCCACCATGCAACTAAAATATAAAAAAGTGATAAAAAAAGCTTCTGTGAGTCACATACACAATCAGACCGCATCAGCTGCGGAGATCACGCCGTATATTTCATCATTTTATTACACGTGTCAAATGCAGGGCCCGCAGGCCATTTCATGTGGCCCTCGCACCTCTTCTGCAGCATCCCCCCTCATCTCGGCCCCCACCCTGCTAGCAGCAGAGAGGATGACAGAACTCCTCCCACAGATCCTCTGCCCCTCTGTGCAGCCGCAGCACCACCCTCCACCTTGTCTTAGCAGTCGGCAGCAGAGAGAACAGAACTCCTCCCACAGATCCTGTGGCCCTGTGTGCAGCCGCAGCACCATCCCCACAGATCCTGTGCCTCTATGCAGCACCACCCACCTTGTCTTAGTCGGCAACAGAGGATGACAGAACACCTCCCACAGATCCTGTGCTTCCCTGTGCAGCTGCAGCACCACCCCCACCTTGTCTTAGCAGTCAGCAGCAGAGAGGACGGCAGAACTCCTCCCACAGATCCTGTGCCCCTCTGTGCAGCCGCAGCACCACCCCCACCTTGTCTTAGCAGTCAGCAGCAGAGAGGACGGCAGAAGTCCTCCCACAGATCCTGTGCCCCTCTGTGCAGCCGCAGCACCACCCCCACCTTGTCTTAGCAGTCAGCAGCAGAAAGGACAGGACTCCTCCCACAGATCCTGTGCAGCCGCAGCACCACCCCCACCTTGTCTTAGCAGTCAGCAGCAGAAAGGACAGGACTCCTCCCACAGATCCTGTGCCTCCCTGTGCAGCACCATCCCCACAGATCCTGTGCAGCCGCAGCACCACCCCCACCTTGTCTTAGCAGTCAGCAGCAGAAAGGACAACAGAACTCCTTCTCCAGATCCTGTACTTCTCCATGCAGCCACGGAAAGGGTCATCTCTGCCCCCCGCTGTCTCAGATGACAGGACTCCTGCAAATCCTGCACCTCTGTGCAGCCGCAGCACCCCCTCATCTCAGCCTCCCCTAGTCTTAGCATTCAGCAGACTCCAGCCCTCCTCCAGATCCCGCAGGTTCTGCTTTCCAGCTCCGTCCCAAGCTTCTTCCTGGCAGCAGCACAAGGTAAGGGACGGTGGGGGGCTCTGGACATCTGATGTAAGGGGTGGGGGGGCTCTGGACATCTGATGTAAGGGGTGGGGGGGCTCTGGACATCTGATGTAAGGGGTGGGGGGGGACATCTGATGTAAGGGGTGGGGGGGCTCTGGACATCTGATGTAAGGGGTGGGGGGGCTCTGGACATCTGATGTAAGGGGTGGGGGGGCTCTGGACATCTGATGTAAGGGGTGGGGGGGGACATCTGATGTAAGGGTGGGGGGGCTCTGGACATCTGATGTAAGGGGTGGGGGGGCTCTGGACATCTGATGTAAGGGGTGGGGGGGCTCTGGACATCTGATGTAAGGGGTGGGGGGCTCTGGACATCTAGTCTTACAAATACAGACCAGCCCTTTGAGGACAACCGTAATACTGATGAATTATGAAATGGAGTTCCACACCCCTGTATGACCTCATATGTCCACCAGCACAAAATTTCATGTCAAATTTTGATTTAGTTCTAGTCACTCTTGACTAAAATACAACTAAAACAATTCAGACGACTAAAATATTACTAAAATGGCATTTTAGTCAACTAAAAAATAGTTTTAAAATTAGTCAACGAAAATTTTAGATGACAAAATTAACACCGTTGTCCACGTAGGAAAAAAAAAAAAAAAAAAAAAAAACACCTGCAAACACTACAGGAACAGGTAGTTCTTCCACCAAAGCTGACGACATCTATTGACAAGATTAACAAAAAAAAAATAAACATACCACACAACACAAAAAAGGGACTTTATTTTCTTCTGTAACACATTTTACTGCATGCAAATACATTTCAAATAGAAACCCAATTCTTTCCTATGTGGCTGGTTCACTTTACATGCAACACCAGTTTTGTGCGTTTTTTGGTGGAAGACCATAAAAGGTCCATTTACACCAAGTACAGTAAGTATTACCGCGCATGCGTAGGTGTGAATGGGCCCTTAACCCCTTAAATACCGGGCACTTCTACCCCCTCCCCGCCCACCGGGCACTTCTACCCCCTCCCCGCCCAGGCCAATTTGCAGCTTTCAGCGCTGTCGCACTTTGAGTGACGTATCCTATGCGCACACTGGTAAGTGCGCAATTTTACCATTTCTCAAGGGGGGGGTCGAGGGGGTGAGGGAAAGAAAGGGGGGAGGGGGTGAGGGAAAGAAAGGGGGGAGGGGGTGAGGGAAAGAAAGGGGGGGGTGAGGGAAAGAAAGGGGGGGGTGAGGGAAAGAAAGGGGGGGGTGAGGGAAAGAAAGGGGGGGAGGGAGGGAAAGAAAGGGGGGGGGGGGGAGGGAAAGAAAGGAGATGGGGAAGAAAGATTGTATTTTTTTATTATTTTTTTTAAACCTTTTTTTTCAGCACATGGTGACCAAAGCAATACAACGTTACCATAGTAACATTGAACTACTCTGGGCAAGTGATCAGGATTTTTTTAAAATCCATTTTGATTGGTAATACCGATGTATTTAATTGATATTTGCAATCGTTGTTACTGAAACGGATTCATTTACTTGTGATTGTGATTGGGCAAAGCTGATCACATGATACAGATGGGCTGTGATTGGCCCTGTCTATCATGTCACTGCCTTGACCAGTCACAGCTAACATAATTGTATAGAATGGATGGCACGACAGGAAGCCATCCATTGGATACAATCGACATGTGATCTGCTGTGATTGGTCACAGCGGTCACATGACACTGGCAACGGGCCAGTGTAGTGATATGTCATTGGCTGCATCCCGTGGACAGATCACACTCGCTGCACGGCTCCTTTTGACAGGACGTCATATGACTCCCAGCCACAACGGCGAGTGTCGCGCCCGGCCATCAATCAGCTATAGGCCGGGCAGGAAGGTGTTAAAGCTCTCTACATTTTTAACCCTTACCTTCACAATCATCTCCTGTGACCTACACAGCTTCACATACTATAAAGAGATGTCCAAAAGGGCAAGAGGCAGGGTCATCAAAAAGGCAAAATGTATTAAAGTAAATCTAAACTTCATCTGAGGAGGGGGTGGCCTCCCTCCTGCCGCTCGCCGGCATTTCTTGGGCTTATCGCTTTTACCGGCGAGCCTGTGAGACGATCTGACGAGTCACGTGGTTGGCCATAGAGGTGAACAGAGACCAGAAAGTCTCTGATCACCTCTATGATCTTGGGAAGACCGGAGCGACGTCATGACCTCACTTCCTGTGTAGGGCAGGAGTAAATTAAGGTTTTTTTTTTTGGTAGCCTCCCCAGCGGTCTGATTATGTCCATATTTCTGTACTCAAAGCGGTACATTTTTTTGCATGGAAAGATGTATTTTTTTTATTGTAGGCTGTAATTTTTAGGAGTAACAATGAAATCTGTCCTAACAAGAGTCTAGTAAACATCCCGGGGATGATAAAGTTTGAAACACGAAATCATAAGTTATAATTTAATAAATAATCAAAAAATATTATTATAATAAATGTAATTCAATAATATAATCAAACCAAAAACACTGAAATGTGAAATAGAGCGCCAAGTTGGCACATCGCTGAGCTCAGTCGCAGAATCGTTTTCAGTGTCTGATGAGGAATTTCCCCCACCAATCATTATCACTCAATTCTGCAAGTGGTTCTGATTTACTATCGCTGTTCTCTAGCCGGTCTAAAACCGCGTCTGACCTAAAGGGACGCTTTTTGGACGCCATGGACGTTTCTCAGTTTCCAGGCAGAAAGAACAGTAACGATGCAGGCAGGGCGCCGGACAAAGCACTCGGGACAAAATGTATGTGAAATGGTTTGATACAGGAATGTTATACGATGTGATTTTAGTGGATTTAGTGAATGTCACTTATTTAATTTCCCGCCAGTTCCATCCCCCGTACGTCCCGACGTCGCAGGGAACGGAACCTGGAAGACAGATGCCGGAGGACATTGCCGGGGACACTGCAGGAGGGACATCGCGGGAGCGCAGGACAAGGTAAGTGCAGAAGGGATCCTGGAGCAACGCTACAGAGTATTCCCGAGTGTAGCTCGGGGGGGGGGGGGGGGGGGGGGGGGGGTCACCGCTTGTGGTGCTGAAACTTTACTCCGAGCTACACTCGGGAATACCGCCAGGGGGGTTAAAAAGCAAAAAGATCTTTTGCTTTTTTTAAAAGTCGGAGAGATTTGGGATCTTATAGACCTGAGCTCTCTCCATAAAGAGGACCTGTCAGCCCTTACTTCTATTACAAGCGATGTTTTCGTTCCTTGTAATCGGGATAAAAACGATTTTAAAAATAAATAAAAATGGAGACAGTGTAAAAAATATCCCTCAGTGGTTGCATACGCAAGGTGGGGCATGCATAGGTGAATGGTGTTCGCACCGCACATGTGAGGTATTGACGCAAATGTTAGCAGGCATCCTGTTGCCGTTCCACGCGTGTGCGCAATTTTAAAGCGTGACGTGTCAGGTATCCAATTACTCAGCGTAAAATTAACCTGTGTCATTGGACACGGCTGATCACATGGTAAAAGGCCGCTGTGATTGGCCTTTTACCTCATCACGTGATCAGCATGGAGATCGCCAGGTGCGAGCGGGACAGCGACACAAATGATAGCAGGTATCCTGTTGCCATTCCACGTGTGTGCGCAATTTTAAAGCTCGACGTGTCAGGATAATTTTATGCCAAGTAAATGTATACCTGTGTCATTGGACACGGCTGATCGCATGGTAAAAGGCTGTTGTGAATGGCCTTTTACCTCATCACGTGATCAGCATGGAGATCGCCAGGTGCGAGCGGGACAGCGTGTTCTGGGAGGATGTCATACGACGCCCTCCCAGAACTGGGTCACCACGTCGCCGTCACTCGCCTATAGCGCGGTTACCAAGCGGTTAACCGTCATCGCCCTCTGCGCAGACATTGCTCAGCAAGCACCTCCCATACAGTGTCTGCACGTAGCTGGGACCTAAATAAAGCTTCGCACCGCCAGACATCACATGACCAGCCATCAAAGGACAGACGAGGGTCAGAAACTAGAAAAAGGTCAAAAGATCTCACAACAACACTGCAGCCCGGCTGCATTTGTAATGTGTATTCTGGGAACATGTCAGTCCATACATAAACAAAGACTGATGTCACCGTGTACATGGAAATCCCCGGCCCTCCATCCCACAGGAAGGACTACGAATGTCAGACCAACAACATGCAAAACCGGGACATAAAATTATTATTATACAGGATTTATATGGCGGCAGAAGGTTTGCTCAGCGCTGTACATTATAGTGGGGGACAGAACAATACAGCAACAATACAATACACGAGGGGTTCGAGGGCCCTGATCCTTGGAGCTTACAATCTAGGAGGGAGGGGATAGTGGTACAGGAGGAGATGGCTGTGGGGGATGGAGTGGTGGGAGGAGAGGAGGAGATCAGCTGTTAGGTGAGGGCGGGGTAGGCTTCCCTGAAGAGATGGGTATTCAGGGTGCGCCTGAAGGCGAGGAGGGAAGGTGACAGTCTGATGTATTGGGGTAGGAAGTTCCAGAGGATGGGGGAAGTCCTGGAGAAGTCCTGCAGTCGGGCGTGGGAGGAGGAGACCAGGGAACTAGAGAGTAGGTGGTCTTGTGAGCAGAGAAGAGTACGGGTTGGGTGGTATTTGGGTATCAGGTCGGTGAGGTAGTTTGGGGCAGCGTTATGAATGGCTTGTGTTAGTAGTTTGAATTTAATGAGTTGGGCAATCGGGAGCCAGTGGAGGGATTGGCAGAGGGGGGTGGAGGACACAGTGGAGGGATTGGCAGAGGGGGGTGGAGGACACTGAGTGGAGGTCAGTGGAGGGATTGGCAGAGGGGTGGAGGACGCTGAGTGGAGGCCAGTGGAGGGAATGACAGAGGGGGATGGAGCCAGTGGAGGGAATGACAGGGGGGTGGCAGATGCGGAGCGGTTGGTGAGGTGGATGAGTCTGGCCGCTGAGTTCAGGATAGACTGAAGCGGGGATAGTCTGCGATGAGGTCGGCTGGGGAGGAGGGAGTTGCAGTAGTCCAGGAGTGAGATAAGGGAGTGAACGAGTAGTTTAGTAGTGTCTGCGGTTAGGAAGGAACGTGTTTTGGAGATGTTGGGGAGGCGGAGCCGGCATGAGTTTGCCAACGATTGGACATGAGGTTGGAAGGAGAGGTTTGAGTCTAGAGTGGAGGGTGACACCTAGGACTTTGGCTTGTAGGTGGGGTGGGATTGATGGTGGCGTTGTTGGACGTGATGGAGAGAGAGTGTGGGGGGGGGGGGGGCGCACGGGTTGGGGGGAAAATACAGGCATTCGGGGAAAAACTCTGTATTGTACAGGACCAGAACTGATATCACAGCGCTATACTGCGCACATTCAAAGTGCGTCTTCATCACGTCAGCTCCGGCCATTTCTGCCACTTTGTTTACATTTTTTAAAAAAATCTGTAATTTTGCTAGAAAAGGAGATTGATTAAAGCCGATTCCAGGAGGGGGGCTACAGGAAGGTCTCCCCCCTCTGCTTGTACAAAGAGCATCACTCCTGCAGGTACATCATTCGTGTGGAAGTGGTTAAGGCGCATTCTATACACGAGCCCGGTTTCACACCGACGCGGTGAGGAATTGTCAGCGTTTCCTGTGTGAATACCGCACCGCATCAGAATCACGCCCCGTTCATTCGGACCGCGGCGGGTGTGTATGTTACACTCCAAAAGCAGGCCACAAAACACGGTGCGATGTGCAGAATCAGATTGCATAAGTGTGACTACCAGTGTGGAAAAAAAAAAAAAAAAAAAAAAAAAAAAAAAAAAAAAAAAAAAAAAAAAGGGTCCTGCGCATCTTTGGTGTGGTGCGAATAGAACCATACAGAACGTACGACTGATCGAACTGCACACAAATCACATGTGATATACCGCACCGCATATATGTGAACCCGGGCTGGAGGGTAAAATACCTTCTGTGTGCAACTTCCCCACCGAAAAAAAAAAAAAAAAAAAAAAAAAAAAAAAAACACACAAACACCTGAGCCCTGTCGTGATCCAGCTATGTGCAGAGAGAGCAGCGGCTCTACCTCCTCATTGGCTGAGACAGCAATGGCTACTGTTGCTGTCAATAACAGCCAGTGAGCCAATGAGGAAAGACTGGGTGGGGGGGGGGGGGGGGGGGGCTTCTGTCTTTTTTCATTCGTAGTGAAAAAATAAAAACCCCGGTGACTATTCAATACCAGCATAAAAAAAAAGCTCTGTGAAAAAAACAAAAAAACAAAAATAGAAATTTCATTTGGGTACACTTTAAAATTGCGCACGCTGTGCAACAGCAACAAACGGTTTGTAATTTTACTATTCATAGGCGACACTTTGAAAGGCCTTTACAGGTTTCCAATTTAGATTTATAGAGGAGATTGCAGACCAACAACATGAAAAAACACGGCCATAAATAAAGGCAAACTGGAATTTTATGGGATATTTTTATAGCGGAAAGTAAAAATTTTGTTTTCCAAAATTTCCAGTCTGGTTTTTTTCACTCGTAGAGAGAAAAAAAAAAAAAAAAAAAAGCAACAAAAAAAATTCTTCATTTGGGAACAGTGTTGCATGACCATATAGTTGACAGTTAAAGCAGCACAGGGCCATACAGCAAAAAAAATTAAAAATAAATTAAAAAATGGCCTGGTCATGACGGGGTAAATTTTTCACAGGGTCAAATTGTCTTGAATATCACTTTAATGTCATTTCCTAATCAACTTTCAGAAGAGACAACTCCGATACCTGCTGATCACAAATCCTGAGAGGCTCAATCAGCTACGATTCATGTATTGACATACTTGAAATACTACAATTTTGGCCATATTCTAATATATATATATATATATATATATATACACACACACATATATACATATATACATATACATATACATATATACAGTATGTTGAAATGAGCTTCTATTACAAAATATGAAAGTTTTAAAAAGAAAAAAAATAAACAAATATGCTGCATGTCTTAAAAAAAAAAAAAAAAACACAACATTTAATCTACATTTTTGGAATGCATTTTCAAAATATATGTAAAAAATTACTTATGTATATGTTAAAAAAAATTTGAAAAATATATACTTCATATATTTTGTAATATATAAAAACCACATTTCAAAATTTTTATTATATATACATATACACACACACGGAGAAAAAAAAAAAACTCCGTTTCGGTTATAAAATTGTACATAAGAAAAAAAGTTCACGTTTTTCAGTTTTTGGTTTATCAAAAAATAAAAAACCCCAGAGGGGATTAACCTCCCTGGCGGTATGATCATGTCAGGAATTTTGTGCTGAAAGCGGTGGTACCATTTTTTTGCATGGAAATATGTCGTTTTTAATTGTAGGCTGTAATTTTTAGGAATAACTCACTGAAATCTGTCCGGACAAGAGTCTATTAAACATTCCGGATATGATAAAACTTGAAACACAAAATCATAAATTATAATTTAATTAATAATCATAAAAAATAATAATATAATAATAATCAATTTAATTCAATAATATAATCAAACCAAAAACACTGAAATTTGAAATACAGAGGCAAATTCGCACATCGCTGAGCAAAGTCGCAAAATCGTTTTCAGTGTCTGATGAGGAATTTCCCCCACCCAATCATTATCACTCAATTCTGCAAGTGGTTCTGATTTACTATCGCTGTTCTAAAACCGCTTTTGATGTAAAGGGACGCTTTTTGGCCGCCATGGACTTTTCTAAGTTTCCAGGCAGAAAGAACAGTAAAATTGCAGGCAGGGCGCCGGACAAAGCAGTGGGGACAAAATGTATGTGAAATGCAGTGAAAAAGCAATGACAGCAAAAATGTCATTTTTTAAAAATTTCAAATTTCCCGCCGGTTCCGCCGCCTGAACGTTCCGACGTCACGGGGACCGGAACACGGAAGTCAGATGCCGGCATCCGCCGGAGGAGATGGACGGGGACGCTGCAGGGGACACATCGTGGGAGCGAAGGACAAGGTAAGTGCTGCAGGGACCCCCAGAGAACGCTGCATGGTAAGCCCGAGTGTAGCTCGGGGTTACCGTTCTTGGTATAGAAATTCTACCCCGAGCTACACTCGGGAAAACCGCTAAGGAGGTTAAATACCACCAAAAGAAAGCTCTATTTGTCTCAAAAAAATAAAAATATCACGAGTACAGTGTTGCATGACCGTGCAATTGTCAAAGTGCGACAACACTGAAACTAAAAACTGGGCAGGAAGGAGGTGACAGTGCGCGGTAGGCGAGGGGTTAAGTTATAACCGCTTGCCGACCATAATTATAGCTACCGTATTTGCCGGCGTATAAGACGACTTTTTACCCCTTAAAAATCTTCTCAAAAGTCGGGGGTCGTCTTATACGCCGGTATACGGCATACTGACACTTTTTAGGGGGGCGGCGCGTTGCCGCCGCCGCCCCCCCCTTCCCCAATGGAAGGGACACTAAGTACAGGGGTGGGCAGCGGCTGCTGTTTCTTACCTGGTTCCGGTCCCACGACGATCCGGTCCAGGAAGCGCGGCTGCGCCTTCAGTTCAGTCACTGGATGTTCGTGCGGCTGCTCGGCTCCGCCTCCTCACCAGTGATTGGCCGCCAGAACTGTAGCTCAGGAAAGGCACACAGGCGGCCAATCACCGGTGAGGGGGTGGAGCCGAGCGGCTCCGCGAAAATCGAGTGCAGGACCAGCAGGTAAGTGGTCAGTGTAGAGGTGCTGCTGCAACCACATATGCTGGCTGCAGCAGCACCATACGAGAACATGAGGGGTCAGCAAGTGTCAGTGGGAGGAATAGTGCCCCATCATTGGTGTCACTGATACCAACGATGGGGCACTATTCCTCCCCCCCACTGACACCAACGATGGGGCACTATTCCCCCCCCCCCCCCCCCCCCCCCCACTGACACCAACGATGGGGCACTATTCCACCCCCCACTGACACCAACGATGGGGCACCATTCCACCCCCCACTGACACCAACGATGGGCACCATTCCACCCCCCACTGACACCAACGATGGGGCACCATTCCACCCCCCACTGACACCAATGATGGGGCACCATTCCCCCCCACTGACACCAATGATGGGGCACCATTCCCCCCCACTGACACCAATGATGGGCACCATTCCCCCCCACTGACACCAATGATGGGGCACCATTCCCCCCCACTGACACCAATGATGGGGCACCATTCCCCCCCACTGACACCAATGATGGGGCACCATTCCCCCCCACTGACACCAATGATGGGGCACCTTCCCCCCCACTGACACCAATGATGGGGCACCATTCCCCCCCACTGACACCAATGATGGGGCACCATTCCCCCCCACTGACACCAATGATGGGGCACCATTCCTCCCACTGACACCAATGATGGGGCACCATTCCTCCCACTGACCCCAATGATGGGGCACTATTCCTCCCACTGACACCAATGATGGGGCACTATTCCTCCCACTGACACCAAATGATGGGGCACTATTCCTCCCACTGACACCAATGATGGGGCACTATTCCTCCCACTGACACCAATGATGGGGCACTATTCCTCCCACTGACACCAATGATGGGGCACTATTCCTGCCACTGGTACCAATGATGGGACACTATTCCTGCCACTGGTACCAATGATGGGACACTATTCCTGCCACTGGTACCAATGATGGGACACTATTCCTGCCACTGGTACCAATGATGGGACACTATTCCTGCCACTGGTACCAATGATGGGACACTATTCCCTGCCACTGGTACCAATGATGGGACACTATTCCTGCCACTGGTACCAATGATGGGACACTATTCCTGCCACTGGTACCAATGATGGGACACTATTCCTGCCACTGGTACCAATGATGGGACACTATTCCTGCCACTGGTACCAATGATGGGGCACTATTCCTGCCACTGGTGTGCATTGTAAGAGGGGTAGTCTTATACGGCGAGTATAGCTCAAACACTAAATTTTAGCAGGAAAAGTAGGGGGGGTCGTCTTATACGCCGGCAAATACGGTAGATCTAACACACACTTGAAATGTGTGTTTTTATAGATTAAAAAATATATGAAGTATATATTTAAAAAAATATATATATTTTTCAAGATTTTTTTTCAGGTTTTTAACATAAAAAAAGTAATTTTAACATATATTTGAAAATGGATTCCAAAAATGTAGATTAAATGTATTTAAGACACAGCATATTTGAACTATTTTTAAAAATATTTAATATTTTGTAATAGAAACGCATTTGAACATACATAACACACCGTACACGCTTCTTCCTGCGTTCCCATAGACTGCTATTGGCCTCACAGCACACAAAAAGGCTCCTTGGGTAACGTGTTCCTCTGACACATGTTGTTCTGCATTCCGATGTCTGTGCTGGAACATAGAAGGTGTGATCGGGGCGCTCCCACAACATCAGGAAGGAGCTCCGCTCTGTTTACTCGGACTTTTTTTTTCAAGGGACCATAAACAAAGGTCCTGCGCTACATTAACCACTTGACTGCCGGGCCGATTCCTCTCCTACATTTAAAAAGCAGAAATTGTTTGCTAGAAATTACTTGGAACCCCCAAACATGATGTTTTGTCAAGCAGAGGCTCTAAAGAAAAAAAAAGTGGGTGCTGCAATTTTTTTTTACGTCACGTGGAATTTGTACAAAAAGCAAATGTTTTGGAAAAAAAAAAAAAAAAACACTTTAAATCAGGGATCAAAATTTAAAGTCCTGAGCTACTAGCCAGGCTTTAAGCCCGAATTCACATTAATGTGGAGCGGTATATCACAGGACAGAACAGCACTTCTCTGCGAATCACAATCACAAAATGCCAATCCCTACACTGTCCTCCACCCCTCTCTGCCAATCCCTCCACTGGCCTCCACCCCCTCTCTCTGCCAATCCCTCCACTAGGCCTCCATTCAGTGTCCTCCACCCCTCTCTACCAATCCCTCCACTGGCCTCCACCCCTCTCTGCCAATCCCTCCACTGACCTCCACTCAGTGTCCTCCACCCCTCTCTGCCAATCCCTCCACTCAGTGTCTGCCACCCCTCTCTGCCAATCCGTCCACTGACCTCCAGTCAGTGTCCTCCACTCCTCTCTGCCAATCCCTCCACTCAGTATCCTCCACTCCTCTGCCAATCCCTCCATTGGCTCCCAGTTGCCCAAGGATAAAGTTCAAAACATATAAAGCCATCCACAACACTGCCCCAATTTACATATCCGATCTTATCTCTAAATATCACCCAAACCGTCCTCTCCGCTCCTCGCAAGACCCCCTACTCTCTAGCTCCCTTATCTCCTCCTCCCATGCTCATCTCCAGGACTTCTCTCCAGAGCCTCCCCCATCCTCTGGAACTCTCTACCCCAATCTATCAGACTATCGCCTACTCCGCTTACTTTTAGGCGATCTCTGAAAACCGATCTCTTCAGGGAAGCCTATCCTGCCCTCAGCTAATAATGGAATCTTCTATTCCTCCCACCAGTCCACAGTTACTACCTTTTGTAGCAGTAGCCCCTCCCTCTTAGATTGTAAGCTCCCAGGATCAGCCCCTCCCTCCTAGAATGTAAGCTCCCAGGATCAGGGCCCTCCTATCCCTCTTGTATTGATCTGTATTGTCTCCCGTTATATTGTAAAGCGCTGAGCAAACTGTTGGCGCCATAAATCCTGTATAATAATAATAATAATAATAATAATAATATAAATCCTGTATAATAATAATATAAATCCTGTATAATAATAATAATATAAATCCTGTATAATAATAATATATCAAGATGAAAAGATAAATAATTCCATCCACATGAGCAGCCACCACAACACTGCAGGTAACAATACACATAAAATATACAGAAGTGCGGAGCTTCAAAAATAATTGAACTTAGGAGTCCAATCCACAAAAATAAGAATATATAGAACAAGCCCCTCTTCTCTGGAACCTCAGTACTGCTATAGGGGTCCCAAAACAGCAGCAAGGGGAAGACAGAAGAAAGTCCACCATCACCAAACACTCTGCACAACACGCAACATGCCTTCGGGTACCGTTACCCTTTACTGGCACCCAACATGCAATGAGATTCCGCCACGATTGTCATGTAACAGGACTGTGCAGCAATCACGGCAAAGCGTGGCCTTTAACCACTTCCCATCCGTCCATTGTATATAAACGGCCGGAAGGTGGCAGTGCAGGGGCGGGTGGACGTTTATGAACGGCCTCCCCACCCCCAGCTTGTGCACGTTCCCTGGGAGCGCGCAGCACCGCGATCCGGTGCCCGCTGTGTCCTCCGGTTCTTAAACCAAAAACCACTGAAAATTTTGAAGAAAAAAAAATGTTTTAGTTTTTTGTTTTAAAATTTTTGTAAAAAGTGATTATTCTCCTGCACTGATGGGCCGCACTGATGGCATTGATGGTGACTCTGATAGGTGGCTCAGATGGACACTGACAGGTGGCACTGCTGGGGCTACACTGATCATCAGTGTACATGTTCCCTCCGATGAATGACGATTACCGGCTCTCCTCTCCTCTGTCAGCGTGACGGCTCATGGGGAGAGAAATGCAGATAACTGGCATTTCCGTGTTTACATGTGATCAGACACAGCTGATCACATGACCGAGCCGATATTTTCGGCTCTTTTCCGTGTATCGGTGATCCAAGGGACACAGCGCACCGCCCATCGCCGTGCATGCGTGGTGAGAATGGGGAGGACGTCATAGGACATCCTCCCAGAACGAGAGAACCGCCTTGTGCCCGTCATTGGACTATATGGCAGGTGGGAGGCGGTTAAAATTTGCAAACCAAATGAAGATTTCCTTTTTAGAATAATAAGCTGTCAGCTTTAGTAAAACAATCGATCTCCGAACAGATTTCCGGTTAATCGCACGTAGCTGGAGAACGACTCACATTCTTTTTATCTCATGTCTTTCCTCGTGGTTGCTGCAAAATCGTGTGAATGCGTCCATGCGCTGCGTGTGATCTCGGCTGGCGGAGCTCGGATTCATCGAACGAGTTTACCAAAAATGTCAATATTGCAGAATATACCGCCACCTTGCTACATAACAAAGATCAATTCATGCTGAATACATGAAATTATTAGTGTATTTTAAATAGGAAACTAGATTTAGATAGATTAACTCCAAAAGCATTTTATTAAAAAAAAATCAGTTAAAATTAAATATATAAATATATATATATAGAATACAGTCAGGTCCATAAATATTGGGACATGGAACACAATTCTATCATTTTTGGCTCTATACACCACCACAATGGATTTGAAATGAAACGAACAAGATGTGCTTTAACTGCAGACTGTCAGCTTTAATTTGAGGGTATTTACATCCAAATCAGGTGAACGGTGTAGGAATTACAAGAGTTTGCATATGTGCCTCCCACTTGTTAAGGGACCAAAAGTAATGGGACAGAATAATAATCAAAAATCAAACTTTCACTTTTTAATACTTGGTTGCAAATCCTTTGCAGTCAATGACAGCCTGAAGTGTGGAACGCATAGACATCACCAGACGCTGGGTGTCATCCCTGGTGATGCTCTGCCAGGCCTCTACTGCAACTGTCTTCAGTTCCTGCTTGTTCTTGGGGCATTTTTCCCCTTCAGTTTTGTCTTCAGCAAGTGTGAAATGCTCAATCGGATTCAGGTCAGGTGATGGACTTGGCCATTGCAGAACATTCCACTTCTTTGGTGTCTTTTGCAGTCTGCTTTGGGTCATTGTCCATCTGCACTGTGAAGCGTCCAATGAGTTTGTGAAGCATTTGGCTGAATATGAGCCGATAATATTCCCGAAACACTTCACAATTCATCCGGCTGCTTCTGTCCAGCCGTCACATCATCAATAAATACAAGAGAAGCAGTTCCATTGGCAGCCATACATGCCCACGCCATGACACTACCACCACCATGATCACTGATGAGGGGTGGTATGCTGAGGACCATGAGCAGTTCCTTCTCCATCCTCTTCTCTTCCCATCACTCTGGTACAAGTTGATGGTCGGTCTCATCTGTCCATAGGATGTTGTTCCAGAACTGTGGAAGGCAGTCTTTTTTTACATGTCCGTTTGGCAAACTCTAATCTGGCCTTCCTGTTTTTGTGGCTCACCAATGGTTTCCATCTTGTGGTGAACCCTCTGTATTCACTCTGGTGAAGTCTTCTCTTGATTGGTGACTTTGACACACATACACCTACCTCCTGGAGAGTGTTCTTGATCTGGCCAACTGTTGTGAAGGGTGTTTTCTTCACCAGGGAAAGAATTCTTCAGTCATCCACCACAGTTGTTTTCCGTGGTCTTCCGGGGTCTTTTTGTTGTGTTGCTGAGTCTCACCGGTGCGTTCTTCTTTTTAAGAATGTTCCAAACAGTTGTTTGGCCCACGCCTAATGTTTTTGCTATCTCTGATGGGTTTGTTTTTTTTTTTCAGCCTAATGATGGCTTTCCACTGAGAGTGACAGCTCTTTTTGGATCTCATCTTGAGAGAGTTGACAGCAACAGATTCCAAATGCAAATCGCACACTTGAAATGAAACTCTGACCTTTTATCTGCTCATTGTAATTGGGATAATGAGGGAATAACACACACCTGGCCATGGAAACAGCTGAGAAAGCCAATGGTCCCTTAACAAGTGGGAGGCACATATGCAAACTGTTGTAATTCCAACTCCGTTCATGACCTGACCATTTGGATGTAAATACCCTCAAATGAAAGCTGACAGTCTGCAGTTAAATACATCTTGTTTGTTTTATTTCAAATCCATTGTGGTGTAGAGCCAAACGGAAGAGAGGGGACGGGGGGGGGGGAGACACGAAGAGAGGGACGGGGGGGGGGGGGGGGGGGAGACACGAAGAGGGGGGGGGGGGGGGGGGGGGGGACACGAAGAGAGGGACGGGGGGGGGGGGGGAGACACGAAGAGAGGGACGGGGGGGGGGGGGGAGACACGAAGAGAGGGACGGGGGGGGGGGGGGGGAGACACGAAGAGGGACGGACGGGGGGGGGGGGGGGGGGAGACACGAAGAGAGGGACGGGGGGGGGGGGGGGGGGGGAGGACACGAAGAGAGGGACAGGGGGGGGGGGGGGGGGGGAGACACGAAGAGAGGGACGGGGGGGGGGGGGGGGGAGACACGAAAGGAGAGGAGGGACGGGGGGGGGGGGGGGAGACACGACAGAGAGGGACGGGGGGGGGGGGGGGAGACACGGGGCGGGACACGAGGGAGGGACGTGGGGGGGGGGGGGGAGACACGAAGGGAGGGACGGGGGGGGGGGAGACACGAACAAGAGGAGGGACGGGGGGGGGGGGGGAGGACACGAGAGAGAGGGACGGGGGGGGGGGGGGGGGGAGACACGAAGAGAGGGACGGGGGGGGGGGGGGGAGACACGATCGGAGAGGGACGGGGGGGGGGGCGAGACACGAGTGAGGGACGGGGGGGGGAGACGAAGTGAGAGGGACGGGGGGGGGAGACGAAGAGAGGGACGGGGGGGGGGAGACGACGATGAGAGGGACGTGGGGGGGGGGGAGACGAAGAGCGAGGGGGGGGGGGGGGGAGACGAAGAGGAGGGACGTGGGGGGGGGGGGAGACGAACGAAGAGGGAGGGGGGGGGGGGGGGAGACGAGAGAACGGGGGACGGGGGGGGGGAGACGAAGAGAGGGACGGGGGGGGGGGAGACGAAGAGAGGGACGGGGGGGGGAGACGAAGAGAGGGACGGGGGGGGGAGACGAAGAGGGGACGGGGGGGGGGGAGACGAAGAAGGGGACGGGGGGGGGGGGAGACGAAGAGAAGGGGGGGGGGGGGGGAGACGAAGAGAGGGACGGGGGGGGGGAGACGAAGAGAGGGACAATGGGGGGGGGGAGACACGAAGAGAGGGACTGGGGGGGGGGGAGACGAAAGAGGGACGGGGGGGGGGAGACGAGAGAAGGGGGGGGGGGGGGGAGACGAAGAGAGGAGGGACGGGGGGGGGGGGAGACGAAGAGAGGACGGGGGGGGGGGGAGACGAAGAGAGGGACGGGGGACGGGGGGGGGGAGACGAAGAGAGGGACGGGGGGGGGGGGGGGGGACGGGGGGGGGAACGAAGAGAGGGACGGGGGGGGGGGAGAGGGAGAAGAGAGGGAGAGGGGGGGGGGAGGAAGACGGAGGGGGGGGGGGAGGAACGAAGAGAG